GTCCACGTCCACCTCCACGTCCACGTCCACGTCCACGTCCACGTCCACGTCCATGTCCCCGTCCACGTCCACGTCCACGTCCATGTCCACGTCCACGTCCACGTCCACGTCCACGTCCATGTCCACGTCCACGTCCACGTCCACGTCCATGTCCACGTCCAAGTCCTCCACGTCCACGTCCACGTCCATGTCCACGTCCACGTCCACGTCCACGTCCATGTCCACGTCCATGTCCACGTCCACGTCCACGTCCACGTCCACGTCCACGTCCACGACAATGTCCACGTCGACATCCACGTCCACGTCCACGTCCACGTCTATGTCCACGTCCACGTCCACGTCCACGTCCACGTCCACGACCACGTCCACGTCCACGAGAATGTCCACGTCGACGTCCACGTCCACGTCCACGTCCACGACAAGGTCCATGTCCACGTCCACGTCCACGTCCACGTTCACGTCCACCACGTCCCACGTCCACGTCTCACGTCCACTGTCACGTCACGTCCACGTCCACGTCCATGTCCACGTCCACGTCCACGTCCACGTCCATGTCCACGTCCACGTCCACGTCCACGTCCACAGTCCACGTCCACGTCCACGTTCACGTCCACGTCCACGTCCACGTCCCGTCACGTCCACGTCCACGTCCACGTCCACGACCATTGTCCACGTCCCATGTCCATCCGTCCACGTCCACGTCCACGACCACGTCTATGTCCACGTCCACTTCCACGTCCACGACCACGTCCACGTCCACGTCCACGTCCACGTCCACGTCCACAGTCCACGTCCACGTCCACGTCCATGTCCACGTCCACGTCCATGTCCACGTCCACGTCCACGTCCATGTCCACGACCACTGTCCACGTCCACGACCACGTCCACGTCCACGTCCACGTCCACGTCCACTGTCCACGTCCACGTCCACGTCCACGTCCACGTCCACGTCCACGTCCACGACCACGTCCCACGACCACGTCCACGTCCACGTCCCACGTCCACGTTGTCCACGCCACGTCCACAGACCACGTCCACGGACCACGTCCACGGCCCGTCCAAGTCCACGTCCACCGGTACCACCGTCCACAGTCCACGTCCCTGTCCACGTCACGTCCACGTCCACGTCCACGTCCACGTCCACGTCCACGTCCACAGTCCACGTCCACGTCCAGTCCCACGTTCCTACGTCCACGTCCACGTCCACGTCCACGTCCCACGTCCACGTCACGTCCACGTCCACGTCCACGTCCACGTCCACGTCACGTCCACGTCCACCTCCCCGTCCACGTCCACGTCCACGTCCACGTCCACGTCACACGTCCACGTCCCCGTTCACGTCCCCGTCCACGTCCCGTCACCGTCCACGTCCACGATCCACGTCCACGTCCACGGTCCCACTCCACGTCCACGTCCACGTCTAAGTCCTCCACGTCCACGTCCACGTCCACCATCCACGTCCCATGTCCACGTCCATGTCCACGTCCACCGTCCACGTCCACGTCCACGTCCACGTCCACCTCCACGTCCACGTCCAAGTCCTCCACGTCCACGTCCACGTCCACGTCCACGTCCATGTCCACGTCCACGTCCACGTCCACAACCATGTCCACGTCCATGTCCACGTCCACCTCGATGTCCACGACAATGTCCACGTCCACGTCCACGTCCACGTCCAAGTCCACGTCCACGTCCACGTCCACGTCCAAGTCCACGTCCACGTCCACGTCCACGTCCACGTCCACGTCCATGTCCACGTCCATGTCTACGTCCACGTCCACCTCCACGACAATGTCCACGACAATGTCCACGTCCACGTCCACGTCCACGTCCACGTCCACGTCCACCTCCACGTCCACGTCCAAGTCCTCCACGTCCACGTCCACGTCCACGTCCACGTCCACGTCCATGTCCACGTCCACGTCCACGTCCACAACCATGTCCACGTCCATGTCCACGTCCACCTCGATGTCCACGACAATGTCCACGTCCACGTCCACGTCCACGTCCATGTCCACGTCCACGTCCACGTCCACGTCCAAGTCCACGTCCACGTCCACGTCCACGTCCACGTCCACGTCCACGTCCACGTCCATGTCCACGTCCATGTCTACGTCCACGTCCACCTCCACGACAATGTCCACGACAATGTCCACGTCCACGTCCACGTCCACGTCCACGTCCACGTCCATGTCCACGTCCACGTCCACGTCCACGTCCACGTCCATGTCCACGTCCAAGTCCTCCACGTCCACGTCCACGTCCATGTCCACGTCCACGTCCACGTCCATGTCCACGTCCACGTCCACGTCCACGTCCACAACCATGTCCACGTCTATGTCCACGTCCACCTCGATGTCCACGACAATGTCCACGTCCACGTCCACGTCCAAGTCCACGTCCACGTCCACGTCCACGTCCACGTCCAAGTCCACGTCCACGTCCATGTCCACGTCCACGTCCACGTCCACGTCCATGTCCACGTCCATGTCTACGTCCACGTCCACCTCCACGACAATGTCCACGTCCACGTCCACGTCCACGTCCACGTCCACGTCCACGTCCACGTCCACGTCCACGTTTACGTCCACGTCCACGTCCATGTGCACGTCCATGTCCACGTCCACGTCCACGTCCACGTCCACGTCCAAGTCGTCCAACTCCACGTCCACGTCCACGTCCACGTCCACGTCCACCACCACGTCCACGTCCACGTCCACGTCCACGACCACGTCCACGTCTACGTCCACGTCCACGACAATGTCCACGTCCACGTCCACGTCCCGTCCACGTCCACGTCCACGTCCACGTCCATGTCCACGTCCATGTCTACGTCCACGTTCACCTCCACGACAATGTCCACGTCCACGTCCACGTCCACGTCCACGTCCAAGTCCACGTCCACGTCCACGTCCACGTCCACGTCCACGTTTACGTCCACGTCCACGTCCATGTGCACGTCCATGTCCACGTCCACGTCCACGTCCACGTCCACGTCCAAGTAGTCCACGTCCACGTCCACGTCCACGTCCACGTCCACGTCCACCACCACGTCCACGTCCACGTCCACGTCCACGACCACGTCCACCTCTACGTCCACGTCCACGACAATGTCCACTTCCACGTCCACGACAATGTCCACGTCCACGACAATGTCCACGTCCACGTCCACGTCCACGTCAACGTCCACGTCCACGTCCACGTCCCTGTCCACGTCCACGTCCACGTCCACGACCACGTCCACGTCCACGTCTACGTCCACGTCCACGACAATGTCCACGTCCACGTCCACGACAATGTCCACGTCCACGACAATGTCCACGTCCACGTCCACGTCCACGTCCAAGTCCACGTCCACGTCCACGTCCACGTCCAAGTCCACGTCCACGTCCACGTCCACGTCCACGTCCACGTCCATGTCCACGTCCATGTCTACGTCCACGTCCACCTCCACGACAATGTCCACGACAATGTCCACGTCCACGTCCACGTCCACGTCCACGTCCACGTCCACCTCCACGACAATGTCCACGACAATGTCCACGTCCACGTCCACGTCCACGTCCACGTCCACGTCCACGTCCAAGTCGTCCACGTCCACGTCCACGTCCATGTCCACGTCCACGTCCACGTCCACGTCCACAACCACGTCCACGTCCACGTCCACGACCACGTCCACGTCCACGTCTACGTCCACGTCCACGACAATGTCCACGTCCACGTCCACGACAATGTCCACGTCCACGACAATGTCCACGTCCATGTCCACGTCCACGTCAACGTCCACGTCCACGTCCACGTCCCTGTCCACGTCGACGTCCACGTCCACGACAACATCCACGTCCACGTCTACGTCCACGTCCACGACAATGTCCACGTCCACGTCCACGACAATGTCCACGTCCACGACAATGTCCACGTCCACGTCCACATCCACGTCCACGTCGACGTCCACGTCCACGTCCACGTTCCTGTCCACGTCGACGTCCACGTCCACGTCCACGTCCACGACCACGTCCACGTCCACGACAATGTCCACGTCCACGTCCACGTCCACGTCCAAGTCCACGTCCACGTCCACGTCCACGTCCACGTCCACGTTTACGTCCACGTCCACGTCCATGTGCACGTCCATGTCCACGTCCACGTCCACGTCCACGTCCACGTCCAAGTCGTCCAACTCCACGTCCACGTCCACGTCCACGTCCACGTCCACGTCCACCACCACGTCCACGTCCACGTCCACGTCCACGACCACGTCCACGTCTACGTCCACGTCCACGACAATGTCCACGTCCACGTCCACGTCCACGTCCACGTCCACGTCCACGTCCACGTCCATGTCCACGTCCATGTCTACGTCCACGTCCACCTCCACGACAATGTCCACGTCCACGTCCACGTCCACGTCCACGTCCAAGTCCACGTCCACGTCCACGTCCACGTCCACGTCCACGTTTACGTCCACGTCCACGTCCATGTGCACGTCCATGTCCACGTCCACGTCCACGTCCACGTCCACGTCCAAGTCGTCCACGTCCACGTCCACGTCCACGTCCACGTCCACGTCCACGTCCACCACCATGTCCACGTCCACGTCCACGTCCACGACCACGTCCACGTCTACGTCCACGTCCACGACAATGTCCACGTCCACGTCCACGACAATGTCCACGTCCACGACAATGTCCACGTCCACGTCCACGTCCACGTCAACGTCCACGTCCACGTCCACGTCCCTGTCCACGTCCACGTCCACGTCCACGACCACGTCCACGTCCACGTCTACGTCCACGTCCACGACAATGTCCACGTCCACGTCCACGACAATGTCCACGTCCACGACAATGTCCACGTCCACGTCCACGTCCACGTCCACGTCCACGACCACGTCCACGTCCAGGTCCACGTCCACGACCACGTCCACGTCCACGTCCACGTCCACGTCCACGTCCACGTCCACGTCCATGTCCACGTCCATGTCCACGTCCATGTCCACGTCACACGTCCACGTCCACGTCCACGTCCACGTCCACGTCCTCCACGTCTACGTCCACGTCCACCTCCACGTCCACGTCCACCTCCACGTCCACGTCCACGTCCACGTCCACGTCCACGTCCACGTCCATGTCCCCGTCCACGTCCACGTCCACGTCCATGTCCACGTCCACGTCCACGTCCACGTCCACGTCCATGTCCACGTCCACGTCCACGTCCACGTCCATGTCCACGTCCAAGTCCTCCACGTCCACGTCCACGTCCATGTCCACGTCCACGTCCACGTCCACGTCCATGTCCACGTCCATGTCCACGTCCACGTCCACGTCCACGTCCACGTCCACGTCCACGACAATGTCCACGTCGACATCCACGTCCACGTCCACGTCCACGTCTATGTCCACGTCCACGTCCACGTCCACGTCCACGTCCACGACCACGTCCACGTCCACGAGAATGTCCACGTCGACGTCCACGTCCACGTCCACGTCCACGACAAGGTCCATGTCCACGTCCACGTCCACGTCCACGTTCACGTCCACGTCCATGTCCACGTCCACGTCCACGTCTACGTCCACGTCCACGTCCACGTCCACGTCCACGTCCATGTCCACGTCCACGTCCACGTCCACGTCCATGTCCACGTCCACGTCCACGTCCACGTCCACGTCCACGTCCACGTTCACGTCCACGTCCACGTCCACGTCCACGTCCACGTCCACGTCCACGTCCACGTCCACGTCCACGACCATGTCCACGTCCATGTCCACGTCCACGTCCACGTCCACGACCACGTCCATGTCCACGTCCACGTCCACGTCCACGACCACGTCCACGTCCACGTCCACGTCCACGTCCACGTCCACGTCCACGTCCATGTCCACGTCCACGTCCATGTCCACGTCCACGTCCACGTCCACGTCCACGACCACGTCCACGTCCACGACCACGTCCACGTCCACGTCCATGTCCACGTCCACGTCCACGTCCACGTCCACGTCCACGTCCACGTCCACGTCCACGACCACGTCCACGACACGTCCACGTCCACGTCCACGTCCACGTCCACGTCCACGTCCACGTCCACGTCCACGACCACGTCCACGACCACGTCCACGTCCACGTCCACGTCCACGTCCACGTCCACGTCCACGACCACGTCCACGTCCACGTCCCTGTCCACGTCCACGTCCACGTCCACGTCCACGTCCACGTCCACGTCCACGTCCACGTCCACGTCCACGTCCACGACCACGTCCACGTCCACGTCCACGTCCACGTCCACGTCCACGTCCACGTCCACGTCCACGTCCACGTCCACGTCCACCTCCACGTCCACGTCCACGTCCACGTCCACGTCCACGTCCACGTCCCCGTCCACGTCCCCGTCCACGTCCACGTCCACGTCCACGTCCACGTCCACGTCCACGTCCACGTCCACGTCCACGTCTAAGTCCTCCACGTCCACGTCCACGTCCACATCCACGTCCACGTCCACGTCCATGTCCACGTCCACGTCCACGTCCACGTCCACGTCCACCTCCACGTCCACGTCCAAGTCCTCCACGTCCACGTCCACGTCCACGTCCACGTCCATGTCCACGTCCACGTCCACGTCCACAACCATGTCCACGTCCATGTCCACGTCCACCTCGATGTCCACGACAATGTCCACGTCCACGTCCACGTCCACGTCCAAGTCCACGTCCACGTCCACGTCCACGTCCAAGTCCACGTCCACGTCCACGTCCACGTCCACGTCCATGTCCACGTCCATGTCTACGTCCACGTCCACCTCCACGACAATGTCCACGACAATGTCCACGTCCACGTCCACGTCCACGTCCACGTCCACGTCCACGTCCATGTCCACGTCCACGTCCACGTCCACGTCCACGTCCATGTCCACGTCCAAGTCCTCCACGTCCACGTCCACGTCCATGTCCACGTCCACGTCCACGTCCATGTCCACGTCCACGTCCACGTCCACGTCCACAACCATGTCCACGTCCATGTCCACGTCCACCTCGATGTCCACGACAATGTCCACGTCCACCTCCACGTCCACGTCCAAGTCCACGTCCACGTCCACGTCCACGTCCACGTCCAAGTCCACGTCCACGTCCACGTCCATGTCCACGTCCACGTCCACGTCCACGTCCACCTCCACGTCCATGTCTACGTCCACGTCCACCTCCACGACAATGTCCACGTCCACGTCCACGTCCACGTCCACGTCCAAGTCCACGTCCACGTCCACGTCCACGTCCACGTCCACGTCCACGTCCACGTTTACGTCCACGTCCACGTCCATGTGCACGTCCATATCCACGTCCACGTCCACGTCCACGTCCACGTCCAAGTCGTCCACGTCCACGTCCACGTCCACGTCCACGTCCACGTCCACGTCCACAACCACGTCCACGTCCACGTCCACGTCCACAACCACGTCCACGTCTACGTCCACGTCCACGACAATGTCCACGTCCACGTCCACGACAATGTCCACGTCCACGACAATGTCCACGTCCACGTCCACGTCCACGTCAACGTCCACGTCCACGTCCACGTCCCTGTCCACGTCGACGTCCACGTCCACGACCACGTCCACGTCCACGTCTACGTCCACGTCCACGACAATGTCCACGTCCACGTCCACGACAATGTCCACGTCCACGACAATGTCCACGTCCACGTCCACGTCCACGTCCACGTCCACGTCCACGACCACGTCCACGACCACGTCCACGTCCACGTCCACGTCCACGTCCACGTCCACGTCCACGACCACGTCCACGACCACGTCCACGTCCACGTCCACGTCCACGTCCACGTCCACGACCACGTCCACGTCCACGTCCACGTCCACGTCCACGTCCACGTCCACGTCCACGTCCACGTCCACGTCCACGACCACGTCCACGTCCACGTCCACGTCCACGTCCACGTCCACGTCCACGTCCACGTCCACGTCCACGTCCACGTCCACGTCCACGTCCACGTCCACGTCCAGACGTCCACGTCCTCCACGTCTACGTCCACGTCCACCTCCACGTCCACGTCCACCTCCACGTCCACGTCCACGTCAACGTCCACGTCCACGTCCACGTCCACGTCCACGTCCACGTCCCCGTCCACGTCCACGTCCATGTCCACGTCCACGTCCACGTCCACGTCCATGTCCACGTCCACGTCCACGTCCACGTCCATGTCCACGTCCAAGTCCTCCACGTCCACGTCCACGTCCATGTCCACGTCCACGTCCACGTCCACGTCCATGTCCACGTCCACGTCCACGTCCACAACCATGTCCACGTCCATGTCCACGTCCACCTCGATGTCCACGACAATGTCCACGTCCACGTCCACGTCCACGTCCAAGTCCACGTCCACGTCCACGTCCACGTCCACGTCCAAGTCCACGTCCACGTCCACGTCCATGTCCACGTCCACGTCCACGTCCATGTCCACGTCTATGTCTACGTCCACGTCCACCTCCACGACAAGGTCCACGTCCACGTCCACGTCCACGTCCACGTCCAAGTCCACGTCCACGTCCACGTCCACGTCCACGTCCACATTTACGTCCACGTCCACGTCCATGTGCACGTCCATGTCCACGTCCACGTCCACGTCCACGTCCACGTCCACGTCCAAGTCGTCCACGTCCACGTCCACGTCCATGTCCACGTCCACGTCCACGTCCACGTCCACAACCACGTCCACGTCCACGTCCACGACCACGTCCACGTCCACGTCTACGTCCACGTCCACGACAATGTCCACGTCCACGTCCACGACAATGTCCACGTCTACGACAATGTCCACGTCCATGTCCACGTCCACGTCAACGTCCACGTCCACGTCCACGTCCCTGTCCACGTCGACGTCCACGTCCACGACAACATCCACGTCCACGTCTACGTCCACGTCCACGACAATGTCCACGTCCACGTCCACGACAATGTCCACGTCCACGACAATGTCCACGTCCACGTCCACATCCACGTCCACGTCGACGTCCACGTCCACGTCCACGTTCCTGTCCACGTCGACGTCCACGTCCACGTCCACGTCCACGACCACGTCCACGTCCACGACAATGTCCACGTCCACGTCCACGTCCATGTCCACGTCCATGTCCACGTCCACGTCCACGTCCACGTCAACGTCCACGTCCACGTCCACGTCAATGTCCACGTCCACGTCCACCTCCACGTCCACGTCCACGTCCACGTCCACGTCGACGTCCACGTCCACGTCCACGTCCACGTCCATGTCCACGTCCACGTCCACCTCCACGTCCACGTCCACGACCACGTCCACGTCCACGTCCCTGTCCACGTCCACGTCCACGTCCACGTCCACGTCCACGACCACGTCCACGTCCACGTCCACGTCCACGACAATGTCCACGTCCACGTCCACGTCCACGTCCACGTCCACGTCCACGTCCACGTCCACGTCCAGTTCCACGTCCACTCCACGTCCACGTCCACGTCCACGTCCACGTCCACGTCCAAGTCCACGTCCATGTACACGTCCACGTCCACGTCCAAGTCCACGACAATGTCCACGTCCATGTCCACGACAATGTCCACGTCCACGTCCACGTCCACGTCCATGTCCACGTCCACGTCCTCGTCCACGTCTACGTCCATGTCCATGTCCACGTCCATGTCCATGTCCATGTCCACGTCCACGTCCACGTCCACGTCAACGTCCACGTCCACGTCAACGTCCACGTCCATGTCCACGTCCACGTCCACGTCCACGTCCACGTCCACGTCCACGTCCACATCCACGTCCATGTCCACGTCCACGTCCACGTCCACGTCCACGTCCACGTCAATGTCCACGTCCACGTCCACGTCCACGTCCACGACCACGTCCACATCCACGTCCCTGTCCACGTCGACGTCCACGTCCACGTCCACGTCCACGACCACGTCCACGTCAACGTCCACGTCCACGTCCACGACAATGTCCACGTCCATGTCCACGTCCATGTCCATGTCCACGTCCACGTCGTCTACGTCCACGTCCACGTCCACGTCCACGTCCACGTCGACGTCCATGTCCACGTCCACGTCCACGTCCACGTCCACGTCCATGTCCACGTCCATGTCCACGTCCACGTCCACGTTCACGTCCACGTCCACGTCCACGTCCACGTCCACGTCCACGTCCACGTCCTCCACGTCCACGTCCACCTCCACGTCCACGTCCACGTCCATGTCCACGTCCACATCCATGTCCACGTCCATGTCCTCGTCCACGTCCACGTCCACGTCCACGTCCACGTCCATGTCCACGTCCACGTCCACGTCCACGTCCACGTCCATGTCCACGTCCAAGTCCTCCACGTCCACGTCCACGTCCATGTCCACGTTCACGTCCACGTCCACGTCCATGTCCACGTCCACGTCCACGTCCACGTCCATGTCCACGTCCATGTCCACGTCCACATCGACGTCCACAACAATGTCCACGTCCACGTCCACGTCCACGTCCACGTCCAAGTCCACGTCCACGTCCACGTCCACGTCCAAGTCCAGGTCCACGTCCACGTCCACGTCCACGTCCACGTCCACGTCCACGTCCATGTCCACGTCCATGTCCACGTCCACGTCCACCTTTACGACAATGTCCACGTCCACGTCCACGTCCAAGTCCACGTCCAAGTCCACGTCCACGTCCACGTCCACGTCCACGTCCATGTCCACGTCCACGTCCACGTCCACGTCCACGTCCAAGTCGTCCACGTCCAAGTCGTCCACGTCCACGTCCATGTCCACGTCCACGTCCACGTCCACGTCCACGTCCACGTCCACGACAAGGTCCACGTCCACGTCCACGACAATGTCCACGTCCACGTCCACGACAATGTCCACGTCCACGACAATGTCCACGTCCACGACAATGTCCACGTCCACGACAATGTCCACGTCCACGTCCACGTCCACGTCCATGTTCAAGTCCATGTCCACGTCCACGTCCACGTCCACGTCCACGTCGATGTCCACGTCCACGTCCACGTCCACGTCCACGTTGACGTCCATGTCCATGTCGACGTCCATGTCCATGTCCATGTCCACGTCCACGTCCACGTCCACGTCCACGTCCACGTCCACGTCCACGTCCACGTCCATGTCCACGTCCAAGTCCACGTCCATGTCCACGTCCATGTCCACGTCCAAGTCCACGTCCATGTCCACGACAATATCCACGTCCACGTCCACGTCCACGTCCACGTCCACGTCCAGGTCCACGTCCACGTCCACGTCCAGGTCCACGTCCACGTCCATGTCCAGGTCCACGTCCACGTCCACGTCTACGTCCACGTCCACGTCCACGTCCTCCACGTCTACCTCCACGTCCACGTCCACGTCCACGTCCACCTCCATGTCCACCTCCACGTCCACGTCCACGTCCACGTCCACGTCCACGTCCACGTCCATGTCCACGTCCACGTCCACGTCCACGTCCACGTCCACGTCCATGTCCACGTCCAAGTTCTCCACGTCCACGTCCACGTCCATGTCCACGTCCACATCCACGTCCACGTCCACGTCCACGTCCATGTCCACGTCCACCTCGACGTCCACGACAATGTCCACGTCCACGTCCACATCCACGTCCACGTCCATGTCCACGTCCACGTCCACGTCTTCGTCCACGTCCACGTCCTTGTCCACGTCCACGTCCACTCCACGTCCAAGTCCACGTCCATGTCCACGTCCACGTCCACGTCCAAGTCCACGACAATGTCCACGTCCATGTCCATGTCCACGTCCACGTCCACGTCCACGTCCACGTCCACGTCCACGTCCAAGTCCACGTCCATGTCCATGTCCACGTCCACGTCCATGTCCACGTCCATGTCCACGTCCACGTCCACGTCCACGTCCACGTCCATGTCCACGTCTACGTCCACGTCCACGTCCACGTCCACGTCCACGTCCACGTCCACGTCCACGTCCACGTCCACGTCCATGTCCACGTCCACGTCCACGTCCACGTCCACGTCCAATGTCCACGTCCACGTCCACGTCCACGTCCACGACCACGTCCACGTCCACGTCCCTGTCCACGTCCACGTCCACGTCCACGTCCACGTCCACGTCCATGTCCACGTCCATGTCCACGTCCACGTCCACCTTTACGACAATGTCCACGTCCACGTCCACGTCCAAGTCCACGTCCAAGTCCACGTCCACGTCCACGTCCACGTCCACGTCCACGTCCATGTCCACGTCCACGTCCACGTCCACGTCCACGTCCACGTCCAAGTCGTCCACGTCCAAGTCGTCCACGTCCACGTCCACTTCCATGTCCACGTCCACGTCCACGTCCACGTCCACGTCCACGTCCACGACCACGTCCACGTCCACGACCACGTCCACGTCCACGACAAGGTCCACGTCCACGTCCACGACAATGTCCACGTCCACGTCCACGACAATGTCCACGTCCACGACAATGTCCACGTCCACGACAATGTCCACGTCCACGAATGTCCACGTCCACGTCCACGTCCACGTCCATGTTCAAGTCCATGTCCACGTCCACGTCCACGTCCACGTCCACGTCCACGTCGATGTCCACGTCCACGTCCACGTCCACGTCCACGTCCACGTCGACGTCCATGTCCATGTCCACGTCGATGTCCATGTCCATGTCCACGTCCACGTCCACGTCCACGTCCACGTCCACGTCCACGTCCACGTCCACGTCCATGTCCACGTCCAAGTCCACGTCCATGTCCACGTCCATGTCCACGTCCAAGTCCACGTCCATGTCCACGACAATGTCCACGTCCACGTCCACGTCCACGTCCAAGTCCAGGTCCACGTCCACGTCCATGTCCAGGTCCACGTCCACGTCCACGTCTACGTCCACGTCCACGTCCACGTCCTCCACGTCTACCTCCACGTCCACGTCCACGTCTACGTCCACCTCCATGTCCACCTCCACGTCCACGTCCACGTCCACGTCCACGTCCACGTCCACGTCCATGTCCACGTCCACGTCCACGTCCACGTCCACGTCCACGTCCATGTCCACGTCCAAGTTCTCCACGTCCACGTCCACGTCCATGTCCACGTCCACGTCCACGTCCACGTCCACGTCCACGTCCATGTCCACGTCCACCTCGACGTCCACGACAATGTCCACGTCCACGTCCACATCCACGTCCACGTCCATGTCCACGTCCACGTCCACGTCTTCGTCCACGTCCACGTCCTTGTCCACGTCCACGTCCACTCCACCTCCAAGTCCACGTCCATGTCCACGTCCACGTCCACGTCCAAGTCCACGACAATGTCCACGTCCATGTCCATGTCCACGTCCACGTCCACGTCCACGTCCAGGTCCACGTCCACGTCCAAGTCCACGTCCATGTCCATGTCCATGTCCACGTCCACGTCCATGTCCACGTCCATGTCCACGTCCACGTCCACGTCCACGTCCACGTCCATGTCCACGTCTACGTCCACGTCCACGTCCACGTCCACGTCCACGTCCACGTCCACGTCCACGTCCACGTCCATGTCCACGTCCACGTCCACGTCTTCGTCCACGTCCACGTCCTTGTCCACGTCCACGTCCACTCCACGTCCAAGTCCACGTCCATGTCCACGTCCACGTCCACGTCCACGTCTACGTCCACGTCCACGTCCACGTCCTCCACGTCTACCTCCACGTCCACGTCCACGTCCACGTCCACCTCCATGTCCACCTCCACGTCCACGTCCACGTCCACGTCCACGTCCACGTCCATGTCCATGTCCACGTCCACGTCCACGTCCACGTCCACGTCCATGTCCACGTCCAAGTCCTCCACGTCCACGTCCACGTCCATGTCCACGTCCACGTCCACGTCCACGTCCACGTCCATGTCCACGTCCACCTCGACGTCCACGACAATGTCCACGTCCACGTCCACATCTACGTCCACGTCCATGTCCACGTCCACGTCCACGTCTTCGTCCACGTCCACGTCCTTGTCCACGTCCACGTCCACTCCACGTCCAAGTCCACGTCCATGTCCACGTCCACGTCCACGTCCAAGTCCACGACAATGTCCACGTCCATGTCCATGTCCACGTCCACGTCCACGTCCACGTCCAGGTCCATGTCCACGTCCATGTCCATGTCCATGTCCACATCCACGTCCATGTCCACGTCCATGTCCACGTCCACGTCCACGTCCACGTCCATGTCCACGTCCACGTCCACGTCCACGTCCACGTCCACGTCCACGTCCATGTCCACGTCCACGTCCACGTCTTCGTCCACGTCCACGTCCTTGTCCACGTCCACGTCCACTCCACGTCCAAGTCCACGTCCATGTCCACGTCCACGTCCACGTCCAAGTCCACGACAATGTCCACGTCCATGTCCATGTCCACGTCCACGTCCACGTCCACGTCCAGGTCCACGTCCACGTCCAAGTCCACGTCCACGTCCATGTCCACGTCCACCTCGACGTCCACGACAATGTCCACGTCCACGTCCACATCCACGTCCACGTCCATGTCCACGTCCACGTCCACGTCTTCGTCCACGTCCACGTCCTTGTCCACGTCCACGTCCACTCCACGTCCAAGTCCACGTCCATGTCCACGTCCACGTCCACGTCCAAGTCCACGACAATGTCCACGTCCATGTCCATGTCCACGTCCACGTCCACGTCCACGTCCAGGTCCACGTCCACGTCCAAGTCCACGTCCATGTCCATGTCCATGTCCACGTCCACGTCCATGTCCACGTCCATGTCCACGTCCACGTCCACGTCCACGTCCACGTCCATGTCCACGTCTACGTCCACGTCCACGTCCACGTCCACGTCCACGTCCACGTCCATGTCCACGTCCACGTCTTCGTCCACGTCCACGTCCTTGTCCACGTCCACGTCCACTCCACGTCCAAGTCCACGTCCATGTCCACGTCCACGTCCACGTCCAAGTCCACGACAATGTCCACGTCCATGTCCATGTCCACGTCCACGTCCACGTCCACGTCCAGGTCCACGTCCACGTCCATGTCCACGTCCACGTCCATGTCCACGTCCATGTCCACGTCCACGTCCACGTCCACGTCCATGTCCATGTCCACGTCCACGTCCCTGTCCACGTCCACGTCCACGTCCACGTCAATGTCCACGTCCACGTCCACGTCCACGTCCACGTCCTTGTCCACATCCACGTCCACGTCCACGACCACTTCCACGTCCACGTCCACGTCCACGTCCACGACAATGTCCACGTCTACGTCCATGTCCACGTCCACGTCCATGTCCACGTCCACGTCCACGTCGTCCACGTCCACGTCCACGTCCACGTCCACGTCCACGACCACGTCCACGTCCACGTCCACGTCCATGTCCACGTCCACGTCCACGTCCAGGTCCACGTCCACGTCCAGGTCCACGTCCATGTCCACGTCCACGTCCACGTCCAAGTCCACGACAATATCCACGTCCATGTCCACGACAATGTCCACGTCCACGTCCACGTCCATGTCCACGTCCACGTCCACGTCCACGTCCATGTCCACGTCCACGTCCACGTCCACGTCCACATCCACGTCCATGTCCACGTCCACGTCCACGTCCATGTCCACGTCCAAGTCGACGTCCATGTCCACGTCCACGTCCACGTCCAAGTCCACGACAATGTCCACGTCCATGTCCACGTCCACGTCCACGTCCCCGTCCACGTCCTCGTCCACGTCCCAGTCCATGTCCATGTCCACGTCCATGTCCATGTCCACGTCCACGTCCACGTCCATGTCCACGTCCACGTCCACGTCCACGTCCACGTCCACGTCCATGTCCACGTCCACGTCCACGTCCACGTCCACGTCCACGTCCACGTCCACGTCCACGTCCACTTCCACGTCCACGTCCACGACCACGTCCACGTCCACGTCCCTGTCCACGTCCACGTCCACGTCCACGTCCACGACCACGTCCACGTCCACGTCCACGTCCACGTCCATGACAATGTCCACGTCCACGTCCACGTCCATGTCCACGTCCAGGTCCACGTCCACGTCCAGGTTCACGTCCATGTCCACGTCCACGTCCACGTCCAAGTCCACGACAATATCCACGTCCATGTCCACGACAATGTCCACGTCCACGTCCACGTCCATGTCCACGTCCACGTCCACGTCCACGTCCACGTCCACGTCCACGTCCACGTCCACGTCCACGTCCACGTCCACGTCCACGTCCACGTCCATGTCCACGTCCACGTCCACGTCCATGTCCACGTCCAAGTCCACGTCCATGTCCACGTCCACGTCCACGTCCAAGTCCACGACAATGTCCACGTCCATGTCCACGTCCACGTCCACGTCCCCGTCCACGTCCTCGTCCACGTCCCAGTCCACGTCCTCGTCCACGTCCCAGTCCATGTCCATGTCCATGTCCACGTCCACGTCCACGTCCACGTCCACGTCCACGTCCACGTCCACGTCCACGTCCACGTCCACGTCCACGTCCACGTCCACGTCCACGTCCACGTCCACTTCCACGTCCACGTCCACGACCACGTCCACGTCCACGTCCCTGTCCACGTCCACGTCCACGTCCACGTCCACGACCACGTCCACGTCCACGTCCACGTCCACGACAATGTCCACGTCCACGTCCACGTCCATGTCCACGTCCATGTCCACGTCCACGTCCACGTCGTCCACGTCCATGTCCACGTCCACGTCCACGACCACGTCCACGTCCACGTCCACGTCCACGTCCACGTCCATGTCCACGTCCACGTCCACGTCCACGTCCACGTCCACGTCCATGTCCACGTCCACGTCCACGTCCACGTCCAGGTCCACGTCCATGTCCACGTCCACGTCCACGTCCACGTCCAGGTCCACGTCCACGTCCACGTCTACGTCCACGTCCACGTCCACGTCGTCCACGTCCACGTCCACGTCCACCTCCTCCACGTCCACGTCCACGTCCACGTCCACGTCCATGTCCACGTCCACGTCCACGTCCACGTCCACGTCCACGTCCATGTCCCCGTCCACGTCCACGTCCACGTCCATGTCCACGTCCACGTCCACGTCCACGTCCATGTCCACGTCCACGTCCACGTCCACGTCCACGTCCATGTCCACGTCCAAGTCCTCCACGTCCACGTCCACGTCCATGTCCACGTCCACGTCCACGTCCACGTCCACGTCCATGTCCACGTCCACGTCCACGTCCATGTCCACGTCCATGTCCACGTCCACGTCCACCTCCACGACAATGTCCACGTCCACGTCCACGTCCACGTCAACGTCCACGTCCACGTCCAAGTTAACGTCCACGTCCACGTCCACGTCCGCGTCCAAGTCCACGTCCATGTCCACGTCCACGTCCACGTCCACGTCCATGTCCACGTCCATGTCCACGTCCACGTCCACCTCCACGACAATGTCCACGTCCACGTCCACGTCCACGTCCACGTCAAAGTCCACGTCCACGTCCACGTCCACGTCCACGTCCACGTCCATGTCCACGTCAATGTCCACGTCCACGTCCACGTCCACGTCCACGTCAAAGTCCACGTCCACGTCCACGTCCACGTCCACGTCAAAGTCCACGTCCACGTCCACGTCCACGTCCACGTCCATGTCCACGTCCACGTCCACGTTCATGTCCACGTCCACGTCCACCGTCCACGTCCACGTCCACGTCCATGTCCCCGTCCACGTCCACGTCCACGTCCATGTCCACGTCCACGTCCACGTCCACATCCATGTCCACGTCCACGTCCACGTCCACGTCCACGTCCATGTCCACGTCCAAGTCCTCCACGTCCACGTCCACGTCCATGTCCACGTCCACGTCCACGTCCACGTCCACGTCCATGTCCACGTCCACGTCCACGTCCATGTCCACGTCCATGGCCACGTCCACGTCCACCTCCACGACAATGTCCACGTCCACGTCCACGTCCACGTCCACGTCCACGTCCACGTCCAAGTTAACGTCCACGTCCACGTCCACGTCCGCGTCCAAGTCCACGTCCATGTCCACGTCCACGTCCACGTCCACGTCCATGTCCACGTCCATGTCCACGTCCACGTCCACCTCCACGACAATGTCCACGTCCACGTCCACGTCCACGTCCACGTCAAAGTCCACGTCCACGTCCACGTCCACGTCCACGTCCATGTCCACGTCCATGTCCACGTCCACGTCCACGTCCACGTCCACGTCCACGTCCACGTCCAAGTCGTCCACGTCCACAACCACGTCCATGGTTGCCTGGTCCAGGAGCGTGCCTGGTTCAGGATCTTGCCTTGTCCAGGAGCTTGCCTGGTCCCGGAGCTTGCCTGGTCCAGGAGCTTGCCTGGACCAGGAGCGTGCCTGGTCCAGGAGCATGCCTGGTCCGGGAGCTTGCCTTGTCCAAGAGCTTGCCTGGTCCAGGAGCTTGCCTTGTACAGGAGCGTGCCTGGTCCAGGTTTGCGCCTAGTCCAGGAACTTGCTTGGTTCAGAAGCTTCCCTGGTCCAAGAGCTTGCCTGGTTCAGGAGCGTGCCTTGTCCATGAGCTTGCGTGGTCTAGGAGCTTGCCTGGTCCAGGAGCGTGCCTGGTCTAGGAGCTTGCCTGTTCCAGGAGCTTGCCTTGTCCAAGAGCTTGCCTAGTCCAGGAGCTTGCCTGGTTTAGGAGCTTGCCAGGTCCAGGAGCTTGCCTGGTCCAAGAGCTTGCCTGGTCCAAGAGCTTGCGTGGTCCAGGAGCTTGCCTGGTCCTGGAGCGTGCCTGGTCCAGTAGCCTGCTTGGTCCAAGAGCTTGCCTCGTCCAGGAGCGTGCCTTATCCACGAGCGTGCCTGGTCCACAAGCTTGCCTGGTCCAAGAGCTTGCGTGGTCTAGGAGCTTGCTTGGTCCTGGAGCGTGCCTGGTCCAGGAGCTTGCCTTGTCCAAGAGCTTGCCTTGTCCAGGAGCGTGCCTGGTCCACGAGTTTGCCTGGTCTAGGAGCTTGCCTGGTCCAGGAGCTTGCCTTGTCTAGGAGCTTGGTTGGTCTAGAAGCTTGCCTGGTCCAGGAGCTTGCCTGGTCCAGGAGCTAACCTGGTCCACGAGCCTGCCTGGTCCAAGAGCTTGCCTGGTCAAGGAGCGTGCTTGGTCCACGAGCGTCCCTGGTCCAGGAGCTTGCTTGGTCTAGGAGCTTGCCCGGTCCACGAGCTTGCCTTGTCCAGGAGCATGCCTGGTCCAGGTTTGTGCCTGGTCCAGGAGCTTGCTTGGTCCAGAAGCTTGCTTGGTCCAAGAGCTTGCCTAGTTCAGGAGCGTGCCTAGTCCAAGAGCTTGCCTGGTGTAGGAGCTTGCCTGGTCCAGGAGCGTGCCTGGTCCAGGAGCTTGCCTGTTCCAGGAGATTGCCTTGTCCACGAGCATGCCTAGTCCAGGAGCTTGCCTGGTCCAGGATTTTGCCTTGTCTAGGAGCTTGCCTGGTCCAGGAGCGTGCCTGGTTCAGGAGCTTGCCTGGTCCAGGAGCTTGCCTGGTCCAGGAGCTTGCCTGGTCCAGGAGCTTGCCTGGTCCAAGAGCGTGCCTGGTCCAGGAGCGTGCCTGGTCCAATAGCTTGCCTTGTCCAGGAGCTTGCCTGGTCCAGGAGCTTGCCTTGTCTAGGAGCGTGCCTGGTCCAGGTTTGCGCCTGGTCCACGAGCTTGCTTGGTCTAGAAGCTTGCCTGGTTCAAGAGCTTGCCTGGTTCAAGAGCGTGCCCAGTCCAAGAGCTTGCCTGGTCTAGGAGCTTGCCTCGTCCAGGAGCGTGCTTGGTCCAGGAGCTTGCCTTGTTCAAGAGCTCGCGTGGTCTAGGAGCTTGCCTGGTCTAGGAGCGTGCCTTGTCCAGGAGTGAGCCTGGTCCAGGAGCTTGCTTGTTCCAGAAGCTTGCCTAGTCCAAGAGCTTGCCTGGTTCAGGAGCGTGCCTAGTGCAAGAGCTTGCCTGGTCCAGGAGCTTGCCTGGTCCAGGAGCTTGCCTGGTCCAGGAACTTGCCTGTTCCACGAGCTTGCCTGGTCCAGGAGCTTGCCTGGTCTAGGAGCTTGCGTGGTCCAGGAGCTTGCCTGGTCCAGGAGCTTGCCTGGTCCAGGAGCTTGCTTGGTCCAGAAGCGTGCCTGGTCCACGAGCGGGCCTGGTCCAGGAGCTTGCTTGGTCTAGGAGCTTGCCCGGTCCACAAGCTTGCCTTGTCCAGGAGCATGCCTGGTCTAGGTTTGTGCCTGGTCCAGGAGCTTGCTTGGTCCAGAAGCTTGCTTGGTCCAAGAGCTTGCCTAGTTCAGGAATGTGCCTAGTCCAAGAGCTTGCCTGGTCTAGGAGCTTGCCTGGTCCAGAGCGTGCCTGGTCCAGGAGCTTGCCTGTTCCAGGAGATGGCCTTGTCCAAGAGCATGTCTAGTCTAGGAGCTTGCCTGGTCCAGGAGCGTGCCTGGTTCACGAGCTTGCCTGTTCCAGGAGCTTGCCTGGTCCACGAGCTTGCCTGGTCCACGAGCTTGCATGGTCCAAGAGCGTGCCTGGTCCAGGAGCGTGCCTGGTCCAGGAGCTTGCCTTGTCCAGGATCTTGCCTGGTCCAGGAGCTTGCCTGGTCCAGGGGCGTGCCTGGTCCACGAGCGTGCCTAGTCCAGGAGTTTGCTTGGTCCAGGAGCTTGCCCGGTCCAGGTTTGTGCCTAGTCAAGGAGCTTGCTTGGTCCAGAAGCTTGCCTTGTCCCAGAGCTTACCTAGTTCAGGAGCGTGCCTAGTCCAAGAGCTTGTTTGGTCTAGGAGCTTGCCTGGTCCAGGAGCGTGCCTCGTCCAGGAGCTTGCCTGGTCCAGAAGCTTGCCTGGTCCAGGAGTTTGCTTGCTCCAAGAGCTTGCCTCGTCCAAGAGCTTGCGTGGTCCAGGAGCTTGCTTGGTCCTGGAGCGTGCCTGGTCCAGGAGCTTGCATGGTCCAAGAGCTTGCCTGGTCGAGGAGCGTGCCTGGTCCACGAGTTTGCTTGGTCCAGGAGCTTGCCTGGTCTAGGAGCTTGCTTTGTCTAGGAGCTTGCCTGGTCTAGGAGCGTGCCTGGTTCAGGAGCTTGCGTGGTCCAGGAGCTTGCGTGGTCCAGGAGCTTGCCTAGTCCAGGAGCTTGACTGGTCCAGGAGCTTGCCTGTTCCACGAGCCTGCCTAGTCCAAGAGCTTGATTGGTCCAGGAGCGTGCTTGGTCCACGAGCGTCCTTGGTCCAGGAGCTTGCTTGGTCCAGGAGCTTGCCCGGTCCACGAGCTTGCCTTGTCCAAGAGCATGCCTGGTCCAGGTTTGTGCCTGGTCCAGGAGCTTGCTTGGTCCAGAAGCTTGCCTGGTCCAAGAGCTTGCCTAGTTCAGGAGCATGCCTAGTCCAAGAGCTTGCGTGGTCTAGGAGCTTGCATGGTCCAGGAGCGTGCCTGGTCGAGGAGCTTGCCTGTTCCAGGGGTTTGCCTTGTCCAAGAGCATGCCTAGTCCAGGAGCTTGCCTGGTCCAGGAGCTTGCCTGGTCCAGGAGCTTGCCTGGTCCAAGAGCTTGCCTGGTCCAAGAGCTTGCGTGGTCCAGGAGCTTACTTGGTCCTGGAGCGTGCCTGGTCCAGGAGCTTGCCTGGTCCAAGAGCTTGCCTGGTCCACGAGCATGCCTAGTCCACGAGTTTGCCTGGTCCAGGAGCTTGCCTGGTCCAGCAGCTTGCCTTGTCTAGGAGCTTGCCTGGTCCAGGAGCGTGCCTGGTTCAGGAGCTTGCCTGGTCCAGGAGCTTGCCTGGTCCAGGAGCTTGCCTGGTCCAGGAGCTTGCCTGGTCCAGGAGCGTGCCTGGTCCAGGAGCATGCCTGGTCCAGGAGCTTGCCTTGTCCAGGAGCTTGCCTGGTCCAGGAGCTTGCCTTGTCCAGGAGCATGCCTGGTCCAGGTTTGCGCCTAGTCCAGGAACTTGCTTGGTCCAGAAGCTTCCCTGGTCCAAGAGCTTGCCTGGTTCAGGAGCGTGCCTTGTCTATGAGCTTGCGTGGTCTAGGAGCTTGCCTGGTCCAGGAGCGTGCCTGGTCCAGGAGCTTGCCTGTTCCAGGAGCTTGCCTTGTCCAAGAGCTTGCCTAGTCCAAGAGCTTGCCTGGTTTAGGAGCTTGCCAGGTCCAAGAGCTTGCCTGGTCCAAGAGCTTGCCTGGTCCAAGAGCTTGCGTGGTCCAGGAGCTTACCTGGTCCTGGAGCGTGCCTGGTCCAGTAGCCTGCCTGGTCCAAGAGCTTGCCTCGTCCAGGAGCGTGCCTTTTCCACGAGCGTGCCTGGTACACGAGCTTGCCTGGTCAAGGAGCTTGCCTGGTACAGGAGCTTGCCTAGTCAAGGAGCTTGCCAGGTCCAGGAGCGTGCCTGGTCCAAGAGCTTGCCTGGTCCAGGAGCTTGCCTGGTCAAGGAGCTTGCCTGGTCCACGAGCTTTCCTGGTCCAAGAGCTTGCCTGGTCCAGGAGCTTGCCTGGTCCAGGAGCTTGTATGTTCCACGAGCTTGCCTGGTCTACGAGCTTGCCTGGTCCAGGAGCTTGCCTTTTCCAGGAGCGTGCCTGGTCCAGGAGTGTGCCTGGTCCAGGAGCTTGCTTGGTCGAGAAGCCTGCCTGGTCCAAGAGCTTGCCTTGTCTAGGAGCGTGCCTAGTCCAAGAGATTGCCTGGTCCAGGAGCTTGCCTTGTCCAGGAGCTTGCCTGGTCCAGGAGCTTGCCTGGTCCAAGAGCTTGCCTGGTCTAGGAGCTTGCCTGGTCCAGGAGCTTGCTTGGTCCAGAAACCTGCCTGGTCCAAGAGCTTGCCTGGTCCAGGAGCGTGCCTGGTCCTAGAGCTTGCGTGGTCCAGGAGCTTGCCTGGTTCAGGAGCTTGCCTAGTCCAAGAGCATGCCTGGTCCACGTGCTTGCCAGGTCAAGAGCTTGCCTGGTCCACGAGCTTGACTCGTCCAGGAGCTTGCCTGGTCCAGGAGCTTGCCTGGTCCAGGAACTTGCCTGTTCCACGAGCTTGCCTAGTCGAGGAGCTTGCCTGGTCTAGGAGCTTGCGTGGTCCAGGAGCTTGCCTGGTCCAGGAGCTTGCCTGGTCCAGGAGCTTGCTTGGTCCAGAAGCGTGCCTTGTCCACGAGCTTGCTTGGTCTAGGAGCTTGCCCGGTCCACGAGCTTGCCTTGTCCAGGAGCATGCCTGGTCCAGGTTTGTGCCTGGTCCAAGAGCTTGCTTGGTCCAGAAGCTTGCTTGGTCCAAGAGCTTGCCTAGTTCAGGAGCGTGCCTAGTCCAAGAGCTTGCCTGGTCTAGGAGCTTGCCTGGTCCAAGAGCGTGCCTGGTCCAGGAGATTGCCTTGTCCAAGAGCATGCCTAGTCTAGGAGCTTGCCTGGTCCAGGAGCATGCCTGGTTCACGAGCTTGCCTGTTCCATGAGCTTGCCTGGTCCACGAGCTTGCCTGGTCCATGAGCTTGCCT